GTTGCCGCGCTACCTCACGTCAGCCAGTATCTACCGTTTCATAACTCCGCGTCGAAATACAAACGATCGATACGCATTGGTATAAGATCTTAATGTAGGCGCATAAATATTTTCGCTATGTTGAAAGTAGGGAAATGTTGCAAGCGTAAACATTTCGGGCTGGTTGCCTTTGAAAGCAATGTTGGGATACTTAAACGTATCGCCGTACAGGATCGGTAGCAGAACTTCGAATGAAACATAAACCCGAAGAAGAAGAGGAAGTAATAGAGGAAGAAGAGGGCGAAACCTTATAACTAGAATCAAAGTACCCTTCCGATCCGAACCAATTATTTGTTTCCCCAATCCCATTATTGGAGGCAAACGAATAAGGGCACGGCTTCTTCCCCTTCGCAATTACATATTATTTTTTATTCCTCCAACTCTCTCTCTCTCTCTCTTTGTTTGAGACAGAGAAATGGAGAAAGAGACTTTCAAGTTTTTCATTCACTTACGTGGCTCGTCGACATTGCCGAGCAAAACTTCCGCTACGACGAACCGGGCCAGCAAGCTCATCAGCAAAAGCATCCTCTCCATTGTAAGCGATTCCGTGCTTCCCATCCTCTTCGTTCGGATATCGTCCTCCTTAAGTCCCGTACTTAAGCGAGGGGTAGGAGCGAGGTGAGGTGGGATGGGATGGGATAGGGTGATGGGGATGGGGGAGGAAGCCGACGCGGCTGATAACTTTCAATGAGACGAATCCTCGGAGATCCGTCAGGTCCGAAATCTGGTAACTAACGGGCGCATCTCGTCATAAGTAGTGGATCCGTCGCATCGATTTGACCCCGATGAGTCCTCCTCCTTCTTCTTTTTCTTTTCCTCCTCCTGCTTCGAGCCGATTTTCCACGGTGACCTCCGATAAAACGCCCGATATACACTTTTAACGGGTAACGAACGAGGGGACACGGGGATGTCGACGGATGTGAGAGGCTGAGAGGGACGGGGGAGCCACAGGGGGAGGCTAGAACTGCGCCTCGAGAGGAGACTTAAGTGCAGCTCACGGAGCACGCGAGAGAGCACAGCTCGCTCGTAGAGTCCCGACGTAAAACTGAGGATTATAAGTAAGTCGCGCAACTCCTTAAGGGCTCCGCGCGCGATTACGCGCGTTATTTATGTATGCAAACTTCAACGCCGTCTAATGGGGTTACTCGATCGGGTAATTGTACATCCTTGCATAGTCTATTGGCGTTCACTTCATACACCACTAAGTTTCACACGCGCGGCCGGCCCGCGCTCCTCCTCCGTCATCGCTCGGCAATAATGACGTAATGATGTTTTCGAGAGCGTGGGACGGAAAAATCGATAAGTTAGGTAGGTGGCAACTTCGTTCGCTGTATCGCGCGATAAGCGCGTCGAGCGTTACACAAGGGTGTCAGGGGTTATCATCGTTGTGTCGTGCGAGCGGAAGCATTTCACGTTGCACTTTGGTATATCGTTATTATTACCACCCACTCTCCACGTAGAGAGCACGTTTTTCTTCCTTTCTGCCACCGCAGGGAAGTTCACGGTGCGCCGCTCTCTTTTTCCTCCTTTTCTCTCTCTCTCTCTCTTTCTCTCTCCCTCTCTCCCTCTTTTTTTCCCTGTCTCTCGGGATAATTATAATCGTTGGGGCGGATGTGTCCCAGGATGGTTCAGGCAGAAAATATTGGTCAATGCCGAGGAGCGTTTGTGTCCTTCAGTTACTCGACGGATCGATCGACGGAGTCTCGGTGATCAATGCGATGAGATTTCAGGTACAATTGAGAGTTTCCGGTGAGAGAGATCGCGCCGGAAAAAGGAGGCAGTCACTTGTCTATCTTCGTCTACTCATTCGTGAAAATATATTTCGCTCTCTCAGAACCGTCTGAGCGTGATTCCGTGATACCGTAATTTCGTGATACCAGACCACACTTGGAACAATTTTTTTTCAAGAAAGACGCACAGCGTCGCGCGAGCAGCAAGAGGGGGTTGCTCCGTCGCCTTCTCTCGAAGGGCTACACTTTCGTGAATACACTTCTCACTGTAGACCGCGGTGCGATAGTCGGCAATCGCTTCCGGTGTTCAGTGCACACACGGGAGGGATGATCGGATCGAAGGTGAGTTAGTCAGTGATGGCTCGACAGTAAGGCTCTACCGATCGGCCGATCCTCGGGGAACGCGAACTCCCGCTCGTGATGGAAGGCGCGCTCACTGCTGCGTTGCGGCAGGCCTACTGATGGGGTTGCCGGAGCTTTCGGCTCGGCTCGGCGCGACTCGTGCGACTCCGTCACCCTCCGACCGCTTAAAGCGCTCGCCGACCACTTTTCATCCCCGTCGTTCTCGCTCCAGCCCGTCCCGTCTCGCGCGCACCCCCTGTCCCATCTGCGCTTCGCGAATCGGTGAACGTTAGAAAACGGCTGCTGTCGCTGAAAACGCTGAGACCGCGAACGATACAGAACAAAGAAACGTGGGCCATTTGTATTTTGCTTGTAGTTAGGCGTGAGAAATGTTAGCGGGGTTGGCGGGGATGTACTCTGGGCGCGCTCTAATGCACTTAGGATGCTGCTTAGTGATGAGCGAGGAGAATCTCGAGAACGAAATTGAATTTAGAAAGGGCCACGACCAAATTTGGAGTCGTCGAAGAATCAAATCCCGATTGTCGCGTTACATAGAATATATGTGTGTGTTCACCGTAACAGTATCCATTACATTCTTATCAATCACAATAGTTGGACAAGAAAAAGTTGTAGACCCAACTAATCAAATTTTAATTTTTAAATAGCAATAAATGGATATTTTAAATGGCAATAAAATGGTATTAAAAATTTCGTAAATGTTCTTCCTAAAAATTTTAAGTCAGCTTCACTTTTTTAAATGGAACTCTTTATCTCTTTTATGCGTGATGTCATAAAGAGAATCGAAATGAATTCAATAATGCTGGTCATAATTGGTTACCTCTATTGCAGTTTCACAGGGCAAAATAAAATACAGTAAGATAATAATAAAGAATTTCAACGACGTATAACACAAGCATGCGGAAACATAAATCGAAATATGCTAAATATAAAACTCTTTGTTACAGAAAGGGCAGAGATTTGTGTTGCAGAAAATGGATATTTCGAACATATATCTTCTGAGCACCTAACGTTATTCGTTACATTGTATTCTAAATATTATCGTATCTTCTGTCTATATTTTCACTGTTAATTGTTGGTAACATTATGTATCACTATTGGACTTGTTTTGACACGTAAAAGTATTCTACACGTAAAAGAGATATAGTTCCACGTGAAAAAGTGAAAATAACCTTGATTTTTTACGAAGAGAAACGTTCGCGAAATTTTTATCATTGTATCTTATTGCCGTCAAAAAACGTATTAATTGATGTAAAACTTTTCCTGTCCGATCATTGTAACCGATAAGAAAAGAGTGGATGACTGTTGCGACGAACACCCTGTAGAGAATGGCAAACAAAACCGTCACTCCTGGTTCCAATAAAACTTGGAGAGTTTGCACCACGGATAAAGGCGGCTTTAATTTTTGTTTCGGCTTACAGAATTCAGAGTTCGAGACCACCCTGCGAGTTTCGTGTCCGCTCGGTCTCCGAATATATTATATGATACGCGGATATGCCATATGAACAATTCTTCGCGTCACTTCGCGCTAAATAAGAGCTGGAAGTTGCGCGCAAAGGACACACACTGCGCGAAACACAAAGCACTCTGTAAAACGCTGTGTTCCCAGCGAAATAACAATCACACGACCTAATGGTCAAGATGACGCGGTCCACCTCGCTGCAGCTTTTGACCAAATACGTCCGCGACCACTTTGTGTCGTCCGATTCACTGAAATTAAATTTTGTCGCGTCTTGTGTGCCATATACGCAAGTTCACCGTGTACGCAAACTTCACAGGAAAAACGTCGGGAGACGCGCGGGACTCCCCAAGACGAAACTTATTACCCTGCTCTTCATCTTTTATCATCTTCCCCATTTAGGACGAGTAACTTCGCGACGTAAGTACGAAATGTGTTTCAAATAATCACATTGTCTTCAGAGTGAACTTCACGAACCTTGAATTGGCCCGATATTAATTCCAGAATTCTGCAGCATATCTCGCGCTATTAGTGGACGGAAAATTCGATGTACTTGTTGAACGAAGGTTTATGACACAAGTTGCGAAGTGCAATGCACTCGTATGGGATATATTTATACATTTACGGTAAGCATTGTCAAGCAGACCTAATAAAACGGCTCGTCGATGACATTATGTAGACAGCAGTGAATTTATGCAGAGCGTGTGGACGCCTTTTGCGAGCAGGAATATTTAAAAGTCAGGATATACCCTCCCCTATTTTTTTTATTTTCCTGCCAATTAATCTTTCAAAACCACGCATCCCGGCGCGCGCAGCTTTTTACGTGCGCTTTGTGTTGTTGCGGCGAAACGTAACAATTCAAGAAAAATGACAACTGCCAATGTATAAAAAAGCGCGAGTATTAAAAGCTAAAAATTGAATTACAGAACAAGCCGGATTTAATTTGTGCACCCCGCGGGCAGTGAAAGTGATTTACGTACGTACGTCGGCTGACCAAAAAAACGGGGGAAGGGAGGTGGAGAGGGAGGGATGAAAAACTCACAAACGCGTGCACGCGTGAAGCGCGCTACATCGACACGAGGATTTTAAATTCGAGAATAAAGCTGGCGAAATGCAAAACGTTAACTCTTCGTTAGAACACCACCTCTTTTGTAGAGTCGAGTTTGCGGTTCGCGTAACGAGAACGAATTTGAAAACGGCAGAAATCACGCATTGTTGGCGGAACTCGCGCAACTCGTGAAAGGAACTCCTAAAAAAATCGGCCCTTCGAGTAGTCACCTCGCAATTCTCGCGACGGAAATTTCGCATTCGTGCACACGAGACACGCGTGCATTCAATAGGCACGCCGGCGTGCAACATCGTGTCTGTTATAATTGCTATATACTCACTACAAGCGCGTATACGCACTAAGGTACTCGGGACAAAAGTTTATTGCTGCCGTAACAAGTTTCTAGAACGCCGCTACGGTGGTACAATGCCCGAAACGTGCATCCATTGGATTAAATTAAATACAAAAGTAGCCCGAAACGCACGAATACCGTTATCGATAAAATATTCCCATTTATTCCATATAGTCTATAGTCGCCGTTAATACATTGGATCGAACTAAAAGCTCCATTCGAGTCGAACTTTCAGTTGAGCTCATTGCATTCGATGGAAAAAGACCGGCCAAATATTCGTTGTCGTTGTCTATGATCCTTCGCCGATATCTTGGCAGAATGAGATATTACTAATGTTTTCGTGTCACGTGTATTTTAATTATTGAAGATCGAACCAAGCTTTCTAATCTAATGCATCAGCATGATTAATTCATATAACATTAATGAATATTATATAGCGAAATTATATATATTGAAATATATATGAATATTATATAGTGAGATAATAACTTGATTTAAAGAAATTGAGAGTAGTAAATCGAGAGATGACGTGAGCGCTGCGATATAGAGAAAATAGTACGTATATCTTTTGCTGCGTTTATAAGTTAACCCCGATTGATTTTAGAGAACCTCAGGTACATGCCTTCCTTTGGAGCGAGGATGAAGGAGCGAGACGGTTTGCCGTATTGAAAGTTGGTTTTCTCGCACGTGTCTATTTTAAAGTTCTTTAATATTCCCACAATGCCAACCTTCGTCTGGTATGTCGCGAAACGGGCACCTAAAAACATTTCGTTGCTCTGGTTAGCACCGTCATGCAGGATGTTCGATATTTACCACCGCAGTGGTTGAGTTATTTGCGAAACGAATATCGGAGGTCACACGAAAGTTTCTTAGCTTGTGTACGCGAATATGAGGTCGTTCGTTAAGTTTCATGTAATATCGCGATCTAACGTAATTTCGGACGAGAGAAATTTGAGAGAAACTTGAGATTTCTCCAGACACATTACCAATACAGTTTCTAGGACCATCCCCAAACGGCAGATAAGTGACCGAATTCAGCGGCGCGCCGTTCCTGAATCGTTCAGGATCGAAGGTCTCCGGATTGGGATAGATGCTAGGATCGAGATGAAGCGTGTGCACCGGTATCCAGATCTGCTGTCCCTTCGGGATGTGTACTTGCGTTCCGGAGAAAGTGTAGGGCGCGAGTGACTGTCTCATAATGTGCGTGATCGGCGCGTATCTTCTCAGGGTCTCTAAATTTGAGGGAAAAGAAATGCGAAAGTTTTGGTTTCCGTTCGATCGCCTCGATTTACAACACTATATGTATGTGTGAACAACGAGCATCTTGCCTTTGAAGATCGCGTCTAGATAATTCATCGTTTTTATGCTGTCGTACTCCATCACACCGTTGGTCTTCTTGAGCTCCTCGGTGATTTCATCCCTGAGTCGCTCCTGCATGTCCTGATTCAATGCCAACTCGTACAGGATATGGCTCATCGTTACGGAGGACGCGAAGAAGCCTGCGACCAAAAACGTCACAGCTTGCGCCACGATGATATTGTCCGTCAATTCTGCAAGAAGAGAAATTTTACATGTGAACTTGAGGTCGGCCGCGAATTCAATTCTTATCGTACCTAACTCGGGCAACTTCTCAGGATGTTTCCTGAGATCCTGAAGTATATCCACGAAATCGTGTTTGATTATGTTGTACTTCCATCTGTACTCGATAGTGTCGACGGTTGTCTTCATGAAAAATTGCTCGAGTTCCTTATTGATGAGATAATGACCGACGAGATCGTAGACTCGCGGCAACATGCGTCTCAGGATGTCCTTGAGAATCATCTTCGTAGACGGCGTCGTCATCCCTTTCATCAGTCGCAAGAAATCGCACTCCTCGTCGTTTAATGTGTTCAAATCTATGCCAAACGCGCAGGTGCCTATCACGTCGGCGGTGAACTTGGACGTGATTATTCCGCAATCTATGTCTGATTTCTGCTGTATCAGACGATCTAAGTACTGGTCGAAGTTATTCGAGCATTGCACCAGAAGGTAGAACATGTCTTTCAGCTTGCCCGATGAGAAGGTGGGCGAGAGCTTAGCTCTCAACGGCCGCCATCGTTTCACATCGAGCATGAACAAATTTGCCCCAAACGTGTCTATCTGAAAAATCGAAATATGGTTACTTTGTGAAGTATCTCTTCATCGGCTTCCTTCAGTTTGCTCTCGTCGACTTATCCGTATGAAGGAAAGATATAGCTCGCGTTCAACAGAAAGAAGCGAATGAAAAAAATAAAAATCTGATTAGCATATATATTATAAATTCAATCAAGGTCTAACGTTTTTGTATTAATAATTGTTATCTGAAACTTGTCTCATTTGAGATACTCAGATTTTTACTCAGAGTTAGATCCAAGTTTATCAATTCAAATATATATATATATATATATATATATATATATATATATATAT